GATATACCAAAAGTTTTGATCACTTTTATGTGTTTAAGATCCAGATGCAATACATACTGTATAAAAGAGAACACTTATTGGTTACTTTGTATGTATTAAATTTATATATTCTTGGGGCTGGGGATTTAGCTCAGCGGCATAAGCACCTGCCTTGCAAGCAGGCAGTCGTTTGATCCCCAGGACCGATAAAAGCAAAAAAAAAGAAGAAGAAAAATTTATATATTCTTAACCCTATAAGTTTAACATTAAAGCTACTCACAATATATTTTGTCTTTAGATGTGCTGTATATACCTCTCTAGTCCTAATATATTACAAGCCTATATTTCAAAAAACCAAAATACAAAAAGACTTATCTTTAATCCTAGATATATACAGTGTGTGCTATAACCTAAGACAGTGGTGGCGAACCTATGGTATGTGTTCTCACCCATCTGTTTATCATTGAAAGTTGTAAAAGATTCACCATCATGGACCTAAGAGAATGGTTATTAATTTAACTGGTTATAAATTGATTATCAAAAACATTTTATAACAAGCCAATATTTATGTAAGTTTTCATTCGTAAAGCTCGGGAAACCTACCATCAAAAAAAACCACCTCTGGGCATGGTGACACATACACACATACGTGTAATCCCAGCACTCGAAAGGCTAAGCAGGAGGACTTTTGGGAGTTTGAAACCAGCCTGGGCTACAAAGTAAGCTCAAAACCAGCCTGACTGCGTAGTGAGACTCTGTATCAAAAAGACAAAAAAAAAACAAAAACAAGACAACACAAAACACAACCAAACAAACAGAAAACCCAAGAAATTATCTTTATAAAATACAGAACATTTTTCAATCTAGTTTTTGTAAGTTTAATCAGTATCATGGGGAGTGGGGAGACAGGGTCTTGCTATGTAATTCAAACTGGTCTTGGACACAGCAGGCTCCTGCCTTGGCCTCCTGAGTGCTGGGATTACAAGTGTGTGCCACGACACCTGGCAAAAACATATGTAATAGGTCAAAATCTATTATTTTTTATGAACTTTAAGAAGCCAATAATAGGGGCTGGGGATTTAGCTCAGTGGCATAAGCACCTGCCTTGCAAGCAGGCAGTCGTGAGTTCAATCCCTGGTACCGATAAAAAGGAAAAAGGCCAAAAAAAAGAAGCCAAAAATACTTGACTATCGCTACTAATAACTCTGATCATTGTCATAAGTATTTACAAGCATTAATCACATTTATATTATTTATTCATTTTAAAAATTACTTGAGATTACTCATAAGAACCAAAGCACAGGGCCGGGGATTTAGCTCAGCGGCATAAGAGCCTGCCTGGCAAGCACAAAATTGTGAGTTCAATCCCCAGTACCACAAAAAAAAAAAAAAAAAAAAAAAAGGCACAGCATAGTTTGTATTTTTAAACTAAATATATTATCTTTAGCCAAAGAAAAATTCTTGTTATTGTATACAGAAAACAGTAGACTTGTTATTTATTTATTTATTTATTTGTTTTTCTGAGATAAGAAAACAACTTTAACGCTTGTATTGTTAAATTGACTTTGCAGGGCTGGGGATTTGGCTCAGCGGCATAAAGTGCCTGCCTTGCAAGCAGGCAGTCGTGAGTTCGATCCCTGGTACAGATAAAAAGGAAAAAGACAAAAAAAAAATTGCAGGCCTAAAGCCAGTGGTAGTCTGAGCATCTTTTGATATGCAATATAGCAACTGTGAGGGATTTCCTTCTGTAGGGACATATTGATAGAACCAGTTTTCAAGATAAAAATTACTTTGATTGGCTAATGATGTGGGCAAAACATTCTAATCTAAGTGGAAAGCCCTAGCATAGCCAGAACTGTAATAGCAAAGATAAAAAAATAAGTTGATATGAGTCCAAAAATGTTTTTAATAAAGCAACTATAAAACTTTAGCCAGTTACTAGAAACAGAGTAGCAGAAAAATAGACAAGAAAACATAGTTGCATTGGTCATGCAACTATTTTAATAATCTTTTTCTTAGTTTTTAGGTTTATAACTATAAATAAATGAGTCAGAATTCTCCAATGAGGGTATCAATTCACACTTTTTAAATGTAAATCTTAACAATGATTTTTTTTTTTTTTTTTTTTTTTTTTTTGAGACAGAATCTTGCTGGGTAGCCAGGCCTTGAACTTCCAATGATCCTCTTCCCTCAGGCTGGAATTACAGGCGTGCACCACCAGGCCTGGCAACAATGCTTTCTTTTTTTTTTTTTTTTTTTTTTTTTTGGAGATTTTCCTTTTTATCTGTACCGGGGATCGAACTCATGACTGCCTGCTTGCAAGGCAGGCGCTTATGCAGCTGAGCTAAACCCCCAGCCCCAACAATGCTTTCTTAATGCTACAAGCGGATTTGGGCCTTTGTCAAACTTGGGCAAAACTTTATTTTATTCCTCTGTTTCTACTGGGACACCCCAGGAGGGCACTTCCCATTCTACCTAGATAGGGGCACAATAACTATCCCCAGAGCCAAATGAAAACCTGAGCTCCCCATTTCCTACTGATTTTTCACCCTCTGTCTCCCTCTTTCCCTGCTAACTAACATGAGAAGACATGTTCCCTATCAGATGAAAGTTTTAGATAGGGAGAGGGTAAAGGACAAAAAGGGAATAGGGCTTTTAGAATAGAAAAGAAGAAAAGAAAAGAAAGCAGTGGGTTACTTCCTGATTGAGTCCATAGACTCTGCCAGGTCTCAAGGCTGACATCAACTACATGTGAGTGACCACTTGAATCTAAACAGTTAGGACATGTTCGCAGCCGCCCAGAAAAGGGAGCGGTGGCTTCACATGGACCAAGCTTATGCCCTTCAGTTTTTTGCTTGCTTGCTTGCTTTATTCATTTATCTTTAATTTTTATTTCTTTGTAGTACTGGGGATTGAATTCACAACCTTGCACTTGCCAGGCAGGTGCTTACATGCTGAGCTAAATTCCCAGCCCTTGTTTTATTTTTTTAAAGGTGAAAATATTTATTTCAGCTCATAGTCAGTGTTTTAGTCCATAGTTGACTGGCTATATCTTTTGGGTTTGTTTTGTTTTTCCTAGGTTTTTTGAGACAGTTTCTTGCTATGTGGTTCGGGTTGGCCTTGAATTCACTATGGAGCACAAGCTGGCCTTGAACTTGTGATGATCCTCCCGCCCCAGCCTCCTTAGTACTGAGATTAGAGGTGCACACCACTACACCCAGCTTGCCCTTTGGTTTTGAGAGAGAGTTGTGAGCAAGGTAATTCAAAGAGCAGTTTATTGGATCTCCTTTTATCTAAAGTGTTCAGGACCCAAACAGGTATGTGACTTGAGGAGATTGCTTCCTCAGGTGTCACCCCAAGGCCTCTTCTCCCCTTCATGCTGGCTGCATGAAAAACTGCTCAAGACTTTCTTTGTTTGGGTCTGTTCTTATTCATGTCTCCCACATGAGCAAATTTTAGTTCCATCTGACCCAGGAGCAGGGTGGCTGACCCAAGGGAATACAGGAGGCCACTCCTCTTCACAGAGTACTCTTCTCATACCCTCTCCATGTCCAGTTAGAGGGAGCCAATGCCTCTTGTCTTCCCGTACTGTTACATGTAAGCATTCATTTTTCAAGATACTTAGATGCTTGAACTCCTGAAAAGGAGAAAAAAAAAAACCAAAAAACTTAAAAGACTCTACAATCTTTAAGCAGAGAGAGAAAGAAAAAAAATAAAAGAAAAAAACCTACACTTTTGAGGACATAGGTTTGGGGAAAGTGGGGAAGGAAAAGAATGAAAACCCTTGGCTAGGACTTATGAAGTTGGAGCCTTAATGCCTCCTTCTACTGGTCCACCAGTAGAGACAGTGTCCCAGGACAGGATCCAGGGAAAGTCCCAAGAGGGGGAAAAGAAACTTAAACCCATCCTACCTAATACAAGTTTTTAGATTCACTGGCTCTTGTGCAAAAAAAAATTTTTTTTTCTTCAGGACTAATTACTAAGGATCATAAAGGGATGTAGTAGGCAGAAATTTATTTATTATTATAATTAAAAATTTTTGTTAGTCTATTTTGTAGTAGACAATGATTATATTTATTGTGGGGGAGTTTGTATGTGTATATAACATGTACATGATAAACTCTTTGTCAACCCCTTCTCCTCCATCCCCTCCCTGTGCACTCCAACTCTTACTCCCCTTCTCATTATTAGGCAGAAATTTAAAAATACAGACTTACAGAAATAGAATGCAGGCGGCACAGCATGGTGATACATGCCTGTAATCTCAGTACTCAGGAGGCTGAGGCAGAAGAGCTACCATGAGTTTGAGGCCAGCTGAACTATATAAGTGAGTTCAAGGCCAGCCTGCACTATACAGTGACACCTTCCCTCAAAAAAAGAAAAGCAAAAGAGACACTGAGACTGCAGGTCCTCAAGAGGAAAAGATACCACCTTTTAAAAAAATATATATAGTTATTATTTCCTAGGACTATAACAACTGGTTTGTAAAGATAATTTATTCCAAAGTCTTAGAGACTTGGGTTCCAGAGGTGTCTCAAGACTTCTCAGTAAGGTTTACAAGGCAGTAGTGATTCTACATCCTCTTCCAGGACAATTACATTTGAACAACCCCATTTATTTTACTTATTTTGCTATTAAAGAAAAGTGAGTATTGTGGTGCAAGCCTATAATCCCAGCATTTGGGAGGCTGAGGCAGGAGGATTGCAGTGAGTTCAAGCCCAGCCTAAATTACAAAGCAAGACCCTCTCTCAAAAACCGAAAAGAAAAAAAAAAGCCAGGTGTGTTGTCCATGCCTGTCGTTTCGGCACTTGGGAGGCTGAGGCAAAAGGATCACTTCGAGTTCAAGGCCAACCTGGACTATAGAACAAGACCCTGTCTCACAAAAACAAAAACAAACAAAAATTTGAAGTATTACCTGGTTTGTGTGCTTCTAAGCCACTGTAAGTTTCTCTTGTAATGATTTATCTGCTCTGTTGTCCTTTGTGATGTTAACTTTACCCTTCTTTATTTTCATTCGACAGACAGATGTGTTGGTTCTGAGTTGTGATCTGATAACAGATGTTGCCTTACATGAGGTTGTGGACCTGTTCAGAGCTTATGATGCATCACTCGCCATGTTAATGAGGAAAGGCCAAGATAGCTCAGAGCCAGTTCCAGGTCAAAAGGGCAAAAAGAAAACAGGTAAGGAACACTAGCGGCTGATATTTTGTTTGGTTGGTTTTATAATTATTATTCATGTTTTCATTTAAGAAACATTTATTGAGAATTTGGCAGTGTACCACAGATACTGTGATAGGAGTTGATGACATAAAGTTAACTAAGACACCGTCTGTGATTTGAAAATGCCTATAACTGTTAATTAGATTCTGGAGTGTCTGTTTGTAGAGAAGATATTCAGAACTATTTTCATTCTATTTAAGTCTCAAATATTTGGATGCATGTGTATTTGTCTTTTGGTACTTGTAGGGGTTGAGTCTAGAACACACAGAAACAAGCATTTGTGTATGTACGTATGCATGGACATGCGTGTGTGTGTGCACACATAGTGATACCAAAATCATGGTTGCTCATTCCCTAATATAAAATGGTGTAGTACTACATATAACCTATACACATCTCCCTTATACTTAAATCATCCATAGATTATTATAATACCTGATGCAAGGTAAATGCTGTGTAAATAGTTACTAATGTATTTTTTCAGGAATAATGACAAATGTGTTCAGTGCAAACACAATTTATTTCAAAACATTTTTAATCTGTACTTAGTTGAATCCCTTAATATAGAACCTATGATTACAAAGGATGAACTATACCTAGAAACTAAAAAGTCTAATCTAAAAACAAAGTTTTTAAAAATTTAAACTTTTACTGCAAAGTTAATTAGATACCTTTAAGCTATTAAAGTTACTATTACAAAAAAATAAAGAAAATTACTATTACAAATTTAGTATGTTTGGTTCTTTTTTAGGAAGAGTCTTCTTTTGAGGCAAGATTTCACTATATGGTTCATGTTAGCCTTGAACTCACTTTGCAGCCCAGGCTGACCTCAAACTCACAGCAGTTCTCCTGCCTCAGCCTTCTGAGTGCTAGATTTACAAGCGTGCCCCACCATGCCCAACTTGTTTGGTTCTTTTGAGTCCTAGATAGGCAATAAACATGATACTTACTAGTCATGCTTATCTCTAGAATTATAAAATAATTGTTTTTTATGTTTTTCTAGGATTCTAGTAGTAGTTTTTTGTTTTTAATATTTATAGAGTTGGGGCTGGGGATTTAGCTCAGTGGCATAAGCACCTGCCTTGCAAGTGTGGGGTCATGAATTTGATCCCCGGTACCAATTAAAAAAATATATTTATAGTTATACTTTTTCTCCTTAGATCATATAATCTTTCATGTTTGTAGTTTTAGTGGAATTACACTAATCTTATCAGACCAAAAATAAAAAGCATAACATCGTAGTCCAGCCAAGGTTAGAGAATTAGATGTTTCGACCTTTCTGGATTTTGGAACAGGGTACCTGATTGTTTTTCTCAAGATATTTCAGACCTAAGCCACTGATTCTGTGACTGGACTACTTTTTATAATTAAACTTAGAGCAAAAGCTTTTTAAGACTAGGCTTTTTATGGCTTTTCATTTTTCCCGGAACTGTGTGTTTTTCCCTGGAATTTTTTAGATTTTGCTTAGCCTGTGTTACATAACCAGATATCTTGTCATTATTATATATTGGCATAGTCTGTTGTAATTGTTAGAGTGTATGTGTAGCACATTAATATTCTATAATTAATAGAGTGACTTAGAACTTTCATTCTGAGAATTTGAATAATCTGTCTCGTATTTACCTTTTTTTTTTCTTTTTAAAGACGTTTAGGTAACTTATAATTTTATTTATTTTGTTTTTGTGCTGCTGGGAATTGAAACCAGGGCCTGTGCATGCTAGGCAAGCACTCTTATCACTGAGCTACATCTCCACCTTGTAATTTTAGACTTCAACAGTTAAATTTGTTTCTAGTGATGTTTTGTGTTCAGGTAATGATTCGTGTAGATTGTTGGATGCTTTCATACTTTTCAAAGCAAGATGATATTAAATCAGCACTAGCTATTATGATGTCTTATTTTCTCCAAAATAGCTGTTCATACCATCCAACCTTCTCTGCCTCATTTCTGTTGAGCTCTTTTTCTGTCATTAGTTGTGAGTTTGTCTTCTTCATTTCACTTTCTGCTCCATTCATTGTGGCCTCTCTGCCACTATTTCTGGAATCTTGGTATTTTTCTCTTTTAGAATGCCCTGCAGTATTCTCTGTAGAGTTGAATTGGTGGTTGCAAATTCCCCTAGTCCTGGAAGCATCTTGTTTCTCCATTAATTTCTAGGGACAGTTGTGCAGGATATATCAATCTTGGCTGGAAGTTATTGTCTTTCAAAGCTTGAATTATTTCCCCCCACGCTCTTCGTGATTTGATGATTTGTGCCGAGAAGTCTGCTGTGACCCTGATAGGTGTTCCCTAAAGTGATCTGTTTCGTATCTCTGACAGCTTTTTAATATTCTGTTCTTATATTGGATTTCTGGAATTTTGATTATTATATGTCTGGGTGTAGTTCTTTTTGGGTTGTAGGTGGCTGGGGTCCTGTATGCCTCAAAGATCTGAGTATCTTTACCTTTAACCATATTAGGGAAGTTCTCCTTGATTATTTCTGTGAATAGCCTTTGCAGTTCCTATGTTTGTATCCCTGCTTCTTCCTTTACATTCTTGATTCTTAAGTTATAGATCCTTTTATCATCTTCTAGCCTTTGTATTGTTACTGCTTGTTTCCTTGTTATTTTTAAGAAGTTTTTCCTTTCATGCTCCCACATTACAAATCTGTCCTCCAGTTCAGATAATCTATCCTTAGTTTCTTTCAAGCCGTTATGCCAGCTTTCAATAGAGTTTTTAGTTTCCTGGTAATCTCTTTGAACCTGGTTGATGTATTCTATGTTTTTTCCGTTTTCTCCATCAAACAATTCTCCCCTTTTTTTCTGTTCTTCCATTCCACCATGTGTTTTTTCTTGGGAAGTGCTTAGCATTTCTTTAACTAGTCTACTTATATCTTGCTTTATTTGGTTAAATACTTCAGTTTTGAACTCGTCTATGAGGTCCCGGAGATATCACTTTATGTCTATTGGTGCTGTGCCTGATACTGCATGTTTTCTGTCCTCATTCTCCTTTGCATTTACCTTTCCTGGATCAGTGTTCTCAGGATTGGGGACTGAGGACCCTTTCTTGTTGCTCCCTCTTCCCATACTTTTTGTTCCTTCCATATAAGCGTATATAGGAGGCCCAGTTTCTTTCTTTGTCGGTTACAGTTCATTTGAATCGTGCCAACTAGGTGTTCCCGCCCACTGCAGTGTATTAGGGAGACACAGACCTGGGCAGCCTCTACTGGGCCCACCCCTCCAGGTCAGTCAACCTACTGAAGGCTTCAATGCATTAAGGTGCACTGCCAGGTGTAGGGACCTGGCTTGGGTTAGCCTACTGGGTCTTAGTCCATGGCGTCACCCAGGTCAAGCACTCCCCACCAATCCCACGAATATGTGACTGAAGTCACTACAGTGGCCTGTGCTGGCTAGTCTACCCATTCCCAGAATGTTCTCTGTTGGAGCCTCGTAGTCTATGGAAGGGTCCCTGTTCCTCTCACTCAGTGCAGGTCAATGCAGGGCTCCCTACCAGCTCTGCTCTCATTTCAGTTTGCTGATTCCCACTGTCAGAGCTTTCGCATCTCTATCCCTGCTGCTGTGCTGATTCAGATGCAGCGGCAGCGGCAGGAAATTCAAGCTGTGGTTTCCAGAGGCGCAGGTTCCAGGTTTGGCACTGAGACTTTAGCTGTTCTAGTCATAGCACCAGGATTGCATTTCCACTTGGTTTCTCTCAGCTTAGTTCGTTCCTGGGTCAGCAGGGTATATCTTCACCTGCTTAGGACTACCCACACCGTACCATTCCTGGAATCTAAGCTGTCTCAGAGAACCTCCATAGCTAATGTTATCTATCCACCATGTTCTCCTGGAAATAGTTTATACTAATTTTTAAATTATTTATTTATTTATTTTGGTACCAAGGATTGAACCCTTGCGCTTGCCAGGCAGGTGCTTATGCCACTGAGCTAAATCCCCAGCCCTATACTAATATTTTTATGAAACTTATCCTATGTTACAGATTACTGTTTGCAAAAAATAAACTTTTTTGCATATTTGAAAATAATTTTATTCTACCCTCATATTTTAATATTTTTCTGGATGTAAACTTGTCTTGGAAATTATGTCTCCTGAGAATTTCAAAGGCATTATTTTTTTGTTTTCTAGGAAGTCCATTCTGATTCTTGGCATGAAATCTTTAAGATCTTCTTCAAAGGGGCTGGGGATTTAGTTCAGCGGCATAAGCACCCGTTTTGTAAGCAGGCGGTTGTGAGTTCTATCCCTGGTACCGATAAAAAGTTTAAAAAAGTTAAAAAAAAATCTTCTTCAATGAGAACATTTAAAATTTATTTTCATAGCCCCTTTGTGGTGTCGGGGATCAAACCCCAGGCCTCATGCATGCTATATATCCCAGCCCTTGCAGTCTTCATGAATATAATACATTGTTGTTAATTAGAGTCACCATGTTGTACAATAGATCTCTTAAACTTATTTCTTCTGTTAACTGAAAATTTAACTTCTTTGACTCATATCTTCCCAATAGTCTTTAAGTTTACTTTTTTTTTCTTTTTTCTTTTTTATTGTATTGGCTGTTCCTCCAGTACAATTATATATACACATGATGCTCATGACCCCCCCCTCCTTATTTTTTTTGCCTTGTTCACAGAAGACGTTATTATCTAGAGATGCAGACTGAAAACACACAGAGCTCTGCATGGCCGCCTCGCATGCAGCAGAGCAGTTTCCACTTTACAGTAAGTGAGTGTCAACTGTTTTATGCAATAGACAACACTTCAAGGTCACATTCTTAAAGGAAAGCTTCATTTACAAAAGAAATAAAAAATAAAGAAGCAATTACTGCTTTTAAAAAGCAGCTGCTTTGTTCAAGAGTGGAAAGTTTATGCCTGTATTGAAAGACAACATGATCACAAATAATGAAAACAATGAAAAACATTGTTACCATAAAGCAGTACACTTTCAAAATGACATACAAATAGTTAAAAATTTCATTA